GGCGGCGTCTCTCGGGAGTCGCGACAGCGGCAATGGCGTGTCGCGCCCTGGCGGCGGGAGCCGCGGGAGGGTAGGCGGCCCGCCGGCCCGGGTATTTACTTGCCGCACCAGCGCCGTGCGGCCACGCTCGCCCGCTGCAGCCGGGCTTCTTTGTCAGGATGCCGACGTCTGGAGGGTCCTGGGAGAGAGGGAGCACCCGGTCGCCTTCCCTCCGGGGGGGAGGGGCGGGGGGGCAGTGCGAAGCCTCGAGAGGATGCGGCGTGGGGGTGGGGAGATCCTGCAGGGACCAAGGCGCCGGGGTTCCTTTGGCTCCGCAGACACCGCCCCTCCTCGTCCCCCGACCCTGACCCCGGTGGCGCTGGGCCTCGGGGAAGGCGAGGCTCGCCCCTGTGGGTCCGCACCAACGGCGCGGGAAAGGGAGGAAGGGGCTACGAGAGGCGGGAATTTCTTCTCCACGCGCGTCTCCAGGGATCAGAAGCCGGGGACTGGAGCGGCGGTTCCTGGAGCAGGTACAGCTGGGGTAAGCTCCCCAGAGACCGCAGGTTCCAGGGCCCTGTTTTTTCACTTGAGGTTAAAGGTCACAACCGTTGGTAAGGTCCTAGGTTAGGAACCGGGCCGCTGGCGGGGGGAGGGCGGGGCGGCGCAGAGGAATAGAAGGAAGATAGTGGGCCAAGGGGAGAATTGTGTGTGTGAGGGGATTGTGTCCAGTCTTGCGGGAGTGGAGCGCACCTCAGCCTTGCGTGGGTTGTAGGGGGCGCTGCTCTCTCGCCTGCACTCTCTCTGGCCCGGGCAATGTTTGATCAATGGGTTGATTACTGCAGCAGAAGGGACTGAGGTGAGACCTAAAGAAGGACTTTCAGAGGGTGGTACAGTGAGGGATGTTGGAGAGGTTGATTCTCCCTCTTGAAGAATCTCGGAATAAAGTAGGTCCAGCAAGTGTTCTTAGATTTTGGTTCTCAGGTGCCCTCATCTACTGCACCATCCCTCTCCTCATATCCCCCAGACACACAATTTTCCCCAAGTTAGGGAGTCTTTTCCTGCCTGCCTGCCTACACAGCTTCCTTCCATCCTTACCTCCAACAATTCATTTCCAGTGGGGGCCTTAATGCTGGTCCTGACTTCTCAAACCCTAAAGGGGATAGTTCAAGGTGAGAACACACCTGTCGAGTTCCACCTGGGATGGAGGTTGCCCTCCTCCCCCATCTGTCCAGAGCAGAAATGCTGCATGCTGCGGAGGGTGTATGTGTGCCTGGAACATTCTGATACAGGGAGGCACTGGGGTTCCAACTCCAGAGGGAAACCCCATAGTCTGGAATGACAGGTACCTGGTGGCCAGGCTGAGGGTGAGAGAAGGTTGAGGAACGAGAGTAAGCAGGCTCAGATGAATCAGTGTGCCTTCCCTGCAGGCTGCTTGAGCTTGACTTGTCAGTCCTGGGGGACTTGAACTTTGGCTGCTGAGTCACAAGCCTCAGGAAGCCCCTGGGGGCCAAGCTAGGGGGCTGAAAGAGAAGAGGTGGCAGAAGGAGACCCTTAATCACAGCAAAAGAAAGAAAGTGGTTGAGAGTGGCTTTGCGAGCTTGGGGTTTAAGTGAGCACAAGTCTGGGGAGATGCTGTGCAGTTCAGGACCAGGCCCCCAGGTAGCCTAAGTCCTAGCCTACTCCCTATATCCCAGAGCCACTGCCAGATTCTCCTGGCAGAGAAATGCTGGATCTTTTCATTTGTATTTTCACGAAAAATGCAAGTGACTAGAGCATGCCCAGTTCTCTTTACCTCTGTATGTTTCCCCCTGCCTTCCTCCTACTGAAAGTCTCTAGCTCACGGGATTTCTAGTAACACCCTGAGATTCAACAATTGAGATTTGGACTCTACTATCATTTACTGGGACCCTCCTATATGCCATGGTCTGTGCCAGGAATTGCACAGGAAACCTTAATCAGATCTCCTTAGCTTTCCTGACTTGAAACACCTCTACACAAACTGTCCCAGATAGAAACAAGTTCCGTTTTTCTTTAAACATTCTGAAGGCGAAGGGTCTGTTTTCCTCTTTAATGTACAATCCACCCCCCACCTGCCTACCCCTGCAAGTGGACACTGACAGGCAGTTCTCTTCCTTCTTCATGCCATTTGCCTTGTGGAGATGAATGAATTTGCTCCATAGGCCAAATGCAGAGTGTTGGGTGTGGGTAGGAGGGTTTTGGGTTTGAGATAGCAAGCAGAGATTCAGAGGTGTTCCAAAAAAATTCAGGAACTGATAGAGGACCCTGAGCTGCCCTGCCCCTGCCACGCTGGCAGCAGGAATGGTTATTCTTGGTCTTACGTGTGGCCATGAGATGTATGTCCTGTTGGTTTACTTCTCTACTGACTCTGGAGATGTTCTGTGATTCAGTCACCTGCTTTTGAAGTTAGCCTTTGGCAGCACAGGTAAGATTTTTCCTGCTTGTGATGGCAAGTTAAATGCATAGCATTTCACCAAAACCACAAACGTTCCTGTTTCTATAACTAAATAATCAGTTACTCCCTCCCTCACTCCTTGCCGGAAGGAAGAAATTCTGCAAATTTTGCCTTCTTTGAGGAAAGGTGCAATTACGATCCTTTAGAACGTACATCCTTTAGACGATGTTCTGACTTTATGGTGTGTCTTCAACTTTAAGATTCTAGAACTAGGGTAAAGTATCTAGGAGCTGTATAGTGCTTGGATTTACAGTTCTAGAAGTTTTCTTCTACCCTTGTCTGTGGGAACTTTAAGAGTGGAACGGTAGATCATCCCCTCCAGGCTCTGTACAGAGAAGACATGTTCTAACTGTCTGTTACTCTGTCCACAGAGTTGGAGGTATAACATGTGGCTGCAGAAAATTAGGACTAAGACTGAGACATCTGGACCCAGCCAGGTTTCTTTAGGATCTGTGTAAGGCTGTCTGGAGTGGGAAAAAAAAAAAAACAGGGTAAGAGAAAGTCCTGCCCAAGCTAGGTGGCACCCTTGCGGGTCCTGCTTAGGAAAAGAGGTCTCTGAGCACCAGAGGACTGAACCAGCCACACTTAGGAATTTTCATCTGAGGGGGCATTGAAAGTGGAGGTGAGCAAGATACCCTGCTGTGGACGCTCTAGGTATACAACATTGTCTCATCTCCCCCTTCTCTCTATTGCCGATCTGTTTTTCTTGCTCATGTGGGCCCGGACAGACCTCTCCTCTCAGTCCTTGCAGGGGTAAACAGGAAGGGGGCGTGTAGAGGGACAGAATCTTTCTGGCTCTCTGTCTGCTCCTCTCCACCATCACCCCAGCCTTGATGTCCACATCTCAGAGGGGCCCCAAGCCCTGACTAATCGGCCATAAACGTACAGTTACCATCTGCCAAAATAATAATACTAATAATTGCTAAATTAATGCCAATGCTCTGTTAGCTACAGCACTCCACATTAGTCTCCGATTTATCTCTGAATCCCCTAATGATGGTGGAAGCTGGTGCCCAGTCATAAAGCCGGTGCGGCCATAATTAGCCCAGCATTGTCTCTCCTCATCGAAGCTTTTCAGGGGCATTAATTCCTTCTCTGTTTGGACTCTGCTAATTATCCCCATCGGTAGTTCAGCCTGGATCTCTGAAAGAAGGAATGGAAGCAAAGGCTCTCTGCTCCCCCTCCCCCAACTCTGAATTTTAATTACACCAGCTTCTCCTAATAAATTTACAAGCCATGGCAGAGTTTATTATTAATGGACCACGTCTGTAAGGCTTGGAACAGAATAGCCCTGTTCCCCCAACACATGCATGCATGCGCACACACACACACACACACACATGCACGCACACATACTCGCACTCTCAGGTATTTCTCAGGGACATGTATCTCTGGACAAGGCATTTCCAGGGGCCACTGAGGTTATTGGCCTGGTGCCTGGTGGGTAACCTGCAGTGTCTATACTTTCTAGAGAAGAAAGAGATGGGGGATGAGGAGGTTGGTCATAATTCTAGTCTCCAGGTTTCTATCCAGGTACAGAGGATCAGGCCAAATAGTAGAGGATGTGTCCCACACTCTCCTGATTATAACAAAGAAATGCCTCCCCAGCTTCTT